AAAATCACTGTTAAATGCAAATGAAGGAACAGCAGTATTTAAAGTCGAAGTGCCACTGACTTCGTTAGAGAGAGCCAAATATTCTGACCTTTTGGCTATAACTCTTTGTAAACTATTACTACTCTCGGCCGTATTTCAGGCCCTTGATAGCTTCGCCATTTAGTTAGCGTTTAAGGGGCCAACTCTTGTAGAATTTTGATAGCTCCGGCTATATCTTTTTAGTTAAGCTATAAGGTATTTTTCCTGCCTTCCTAGCGTGCCTTCGTGGTGTAGTGGTCAGCACACTGAGCCGGTATTTCAGAGCGTACCTTCGTGGTGTAATAGTGGTTCTGCACGCTGTACGGGTATTCCAGAGGTCCTTGGTTCGATTCCCGGCGAAGGCGGTTGCTATTTTTTCATCTTGCCTGATTCCAAAAAATACATAATGTCTCTACAGTGGCGCCCGAACTAAAAGGGTGTACTATGAGGATTCTCCACACTCAGGATTTAGAGATTGGTCCCCTAAAAACCCCAGTTGCCCTTTAAAAGGGGGAGTATATAATGTATTTCTCCCGCCTTCCTAGCGTGCCTTCGTGGTGTAGTGGTTCTGCACGCTGGGCCGGTATTCCAGAGGGCCTTGGTTCGATTTTTCATCTTGCCTGATTCCAAAAAATATCTAATGTCCTCTACAAAGCATTAGCTAAGTTTTATTCCTTATTTTTCTTGAGTTTAAGCTCAAATAGAGGCTTTTCTGTGCTTCCTGAGAGAGGACCGACTGTGAACTTTATTTTGAACAATAAAGGGTAATCAACCATTCTTCAGTTTCTGTCTCCTGAACTAAAACGATTATTCGCTTACAAGGTTTCACACATATCTGTAAATTCTAGGTTGTAACATTACGAGGGTTTTAAAAATTAATAATACCATAAAACTCATTCAGTAAACGTGGTTAATACTACACGATTCATGGAAATCTAAATACATAATGCATAAAAATAAAGTATTCATGTATTAGCATATAAAGTTTGTTCGCACATTTTTAGACGATTTTGCTTTGCTATAAAATAAAGTCTGCTGCTTGGAATTTCTTTAACTGCAACTATATTTTTGAAAATACAAATTATCGTCTGCAGCTTGACAGTTTTGTCTCCGTGCGAAATGCTGCTTTTAAAGAAGAAATTGTTGGAAGGCTATATCTGTGCTCTTTCCGAAGAAAATTATTCGTATCTATTCATTAAAAAACGCTGTGAGAGTCATACGGTTTCGACATCTAAAGCGACAATAGGTAATATTGTTACCAAGAAAGTCAAAAAACACGTCAACGTTTGTCTTCAACTGAAAACATTATTCCAGATACATATCCAAAAAAAAATCGGAATGTTTCGAATCTTTCAAAGGTAAGATCTTGAGTGTTAAAAGAAAATCCGTTAAGTCAAAGGAGAGATACAAAATTATTAAAATTTGCAGCTTCAACTGTAAACAAAAGGATTAATTCTGATTTGAATCTTGAAAAGGTGGCAAAGCATAATCTGCAGTGTCTTTCTCCAAAAAATATTGCCGAACGTTGAACGCGCTGAAGAATTCTTTATGAGAAACATTTAATCAGACAAAAATGGAAAAATCTTATCACAATAAATGAATCTCGAGTGTATTTAAATGATTGAAAAAAAAAAAGGGATTCAAGTGTTATCATGAAAGAGGAGAAAACATCTTAAAACATGGTTCAAAGAATCTAAATAATGTTTTTGGAAGAGATTCATCATTGTTGCTGGTTTTTCATATAACGGTAAAAAATATGAAGTACCTTCTTCTCATCCGCAGTGTGATCAGTCAGTAGAACTGCATCAAGACAAAGCAAGCAGCCACACAGCAAATTCCATTGTTAATTTTATGAAACAAATAGAACAAGAAACGGGTATTAAGGCCATAACTTTTACTCATATCTCTTCTTAATCTTTTATTTTATCACTAATGGATTTTTACGCTTTTGGACTTTTGAAAAGCGGATTCTCCAAACGTCGACTTGCAACTCTTCAAAAACCGACTTGCAACTTCACATTCCTCTTGAAGAGTTTTGACAGCTCTTCAAGAGGAATGTGATAAAATACCATTCCTGACACTACAAAATACTACTCATGGCCTTGGAAATTATGGTGCATAAAGACAATGAAGAATAATTATTATCAAACATAACATTTAAAAAAGAGGAATTTTAGATAAAATATTTCGTAATTACAGTGAAAATCGTCTAAAAATGTGAGAACAGTTTCTGATTTAATCAGAACTGATGTATTAGCTTATAATATTCATATATTGATAATAATGCAGTTTCCCCGGTTATATTCTCTGTAATAATAAAAGCGTAATACATAATGTTAATATATTGGATACAAATAACACATTGTGCGGTCCACAGAGCAAAGGCACAGCACAAATTGATCCTCGAGGATTTAGAACTTTGCCGCACTGCTTTGTACTAAAGTCTGAGCTTACTATAACAGTTGCACAGGAAGTGTTACTGCTGTAGGTCTATTTATCAAAATGTTAAGAAATATATTTTAGGCTACCTTTTCCAATATATCTCAGAAAAGACTTTATCTTTTTCATTAACTGTAGTGCCCGATTTTGTGCTGCAATAAGACATAAGTTCATGTTCGGAAAGGTATAAAAATGTCGTGTAATCTCAATTACTAACCTCCTTAACTAGAATCAGTTTGATAAGGTTCAGTTTTTCCGTCCATAAAACGTTATTGCCCTGACATCTGCCACTGCTGCGTTTTATCATCTTTCTTGTTGAAAGTGCTCGTAAATAAAGCGAGAGGAGTTCTATGATGTTCTTGATAGCCTGGATTTAACGTTGTTACGAGAGTGAATGCCACACTTTATACAGAGATGCTGACTTATGCTGTGTTAATAATTGGGTATATCAAATTCACGGTCACAAGAAGTTGAGCTTTCCAGGTTAAAATGTATTAAACGTGTGGTCTCAAACTGAAACTCAAATTGAAATTGCCTGCGTGTTGAATATACGATCTAAAAGAACTGACACGTCAGAGATTTATTTTTTATTAATATTTTTTACAAAGCGAATATTTTTTACTAAAAACATATTTTTAATTTCGCTTACTAGACATTTATCAGAATATACGTAAAAAAATAATAATATAGCAAAGAAAAAAAAAAACACTGATGCTTATTATCTATCTGGAAACTTAAACTTTGGTACTTACAAGCCATTTTCAGAACAAACTTTCTAACTGGGACAAAATCTGAGATTAGGTAATGACAAGTTAATCTCTTTCTCTTATTAAATTTTAAGCATAAATTAAAATACATGTTTTTGCATATAATTAATTAAAAACTACCTTATTCCTTACTATAACTTGATACCTAATAGCGTTTCGATTCCAGTAATCTATGCAACCTTGGATAAAAATTGCTATAACCTACCTTGAACAGGGATTGTAGATGCCCATCGGGTCAACCGGATTCTCTTCTTATTAATTTTAAATTGTGGAAAAATCTCTTCACATATGAATGCATTCCAATACAAAGAGATTATTCGTAATGCAAAAATTCAAACTTATACGGTGTGGAGGGAAAACTACCGTGTTAACTGTGAATTAAATCTGTTTTTAGAAAGAGGTAAAACTTTTGGTGGCCGCAGCAATTCTCATTTACTGCTCGAGGTTCTAAGAGCTTTACGGTGAGCTTTACGGTGTGAAAAACAACCAAATGTGTTATTTGAGAGGAATTCGATTTTGGTAATTGTAAAATTTACATTCTACGTATGATCGCCTTGGAAACAGTTTTGTTCAAAATTTACTCCAACCCAAAGTTGTGTTTTTACCTCATTTTAAATTGGGTTGAATTTTTTTTAATTCCTTAATTCCATTCTCAAGATTTATTTTGATTCAGAGATGTTTCTACGAATTTATTTATTCTAAACACTTAAATTCATAGAAAAATATTATTTTAAGGTACATTTAGAAACTATATAATTGTTATGAAACAGAGTTTACAGGAAAATCACTTTGGTATTCTTTAAAAACTTTAAAATACTTTACAATTTTAATTCTCTGAAACTTAACTCATAAAAATAGCCTCGAATGATTAATGACTCATGCAATGGAAAACAATCTGTGCGAACGAATATTAGCTCAGAATGTAAGAATATACAAAGCACTACTAAAAATAATTTACACCGCTTATTGACCAATTAATGACACTGCTACCCAGCGCAAAACATATTTAAAAATTTGGCTGTTGCCACTTTTAGCAAACGAATTTTGAAGAATTATTCTGTTGCCACTATTCAGCAAAAAGAATGTTGCAAAATTATCTCAAATGACGTAATATCTAGTAATAACAATTTCTTGAATATTTTATGTACTTTCAACATATATTTAAATAATCCTTATATAGCACTGTTATGGTTGCTGTACACTAAAACGTTTTTCTGTTAGCTCAGACATTAACTAATTACAGTTCTAGAGTTGAGTTTAGAATATATTATAAATTATCAAAGTTTTCCCACAGCATATATTTTCTTTTTTCAGTTTCAATCTAGTAGATAAAGCTAAACTAAATAACAGAAAAAAAGAATATGTAATTCTACGCCTAAGTACTATATGACCTTGCAAAATATTTTATTAGTTACGATAATACTGCAAATATTCATAATTATGAACAAGGTACAATATAAATTAAACATCTTTTATATCAGTTAGTTATATTATTAGAAAAATAAAATAAGATTGAAAATTATAAATATGCGCATTTAACTGCTTTCAAATTCATTATTTTGTAAAATGGTGCGATTAGTTGCTAATCTGAGAAACCGCATGGACGAGAACTGAAAATTGAATGTCATGTGCTAGTACAAATGGCAAACCTTTCAAGGTCAAGCAGGCGATAAATGACGTTACGGTATAATATAATGTAGCCTAACGAACTAAACAATTGAAGAGGACTTTGCTAAATATGTTACTAAAAATAATCTAATAGAATATAACTCATACCTTGAGAAATACTTTTAGGGCCTACATCCATTGGTTTTCTTGTGAACCATAAAACACCACTGTGTCTGTCAATACTAATGAAAGTTTGCTGTTTCTTCAGAACACGTGATTCACCTCTACTCTGTAGATGTACTTGTATTTTCCGAATAGAAAATTCTATCCAGGGGCCATCTGTGGTATTCATTTGTGTATCTACGAACTCTGGAACTGCTACCACTTTGTAGAATGGATGATGCAACGGGTAATCCAAAGGTAAGTGTAGGCGAGTCTTTTGTTTCGGGAACATCCATCCCTCAGTCACTGCTGCTGGAAAGAAAACAAAGTCATTGTCTGTGAACATTTAATTTTATTCAATAACAATATTCTTAAATAAAATTATAGTGCATGTTTGCAAGCACAAAATCACATTTCTGAAAATATGAATTTTTAGGTGTTTTGTTTTACTACAATCTTACAGCTAGCAATAAATGCAGAAACCGATGCATGATGAAAACATCGAAAATCAGAGAAATACCAGAAGTTTCTAAAAAAGATTTATCTTAAAAACGACAGGGCTCAAAAAAGAACAAATCCTAAAAATCACTCTAGATACTCCTCAGGTTAAATATCTGTGAAAAGACCAACAGTATTCTATTAGTAGCTATTATTTTAGACAGTTTTGATTTCATTTGACAGATTTCATTCAAACAAAACAAGTCTAACTTTAATATGGATTCTCGGAATAATTATGGATGAATTCTACCTAATATTGGTTTTGGCTTTCCTTATTATAACCAACGAATTAAATATTCCCTTTAAGTTCTGATAGCAAATAAATTGCCTCGGATAAATATCTAAATTAACTATTGATTGTATTTTCTAAATTGAGGCATTGACTATATTATATTTAAAATCCTCATTATTATTGGTTTTGGCTTTCCTTATTATAACCAACGAATTAAATATTCCTGTTAAGTTCTGATAGCATATATATTGCCTCGAATAAGTATCTAAATTAACTATTGATTGTATTTTCTAAATTGAGGCATTGGCTAAATTATAATTAAAATCCTCATTATTTGAATGACGCTTTAAATAACCTTATTATAGATTTTGTCACTTAACGAAACAATTGATTAATTTAGTCAACTGCTTTTTATAATCCATTTTCTAAACATTGAGTCAAATATAAATCATAAAAATTGGACAATTTATAAAACTGTTAGGGTGTGTATAACAGGTTTCCTAAATTCGATTTTAGTGAAAAGTAAAAATGCGATTGATCCCATGCGTCAATAATCGATTTTTGTTAACTAATGGCGGACCCTCTGCCAACCTCTGGCCACCACTGAGGCCAAAAGTGGTGGTCACTTTATTATGGAGGCACCTAATAGGTGGGCCAACTTTGTCTCCTATGAAGGGACGGACTATTACAACCATTCCTTCTCCGGGATTCAAAGCCGAGCCCTTTCAGATTTAATTAGAGATTAGATTTAATTTTAGATTTTAATTATGAACTTTAATTTGTATAATTTAAAATTGTGATGCGTTTAATTTGTGTATATAACTTGAACATAGTGTAAGCATTTGTTTCTTTTAAAATTGTGATGTGTCTAATTTGGGCATATAACTTGTATTATAGTGTAAAGTTTTCTTATGTTATTTATTTATACCTTATGTTTGTTTCACTACGTTTTGTTTGTATCGAATTTGGCTTCTGACCAAGGGTTGTACTGCCCGGGACGTGCAGTCCTTGGGAGGGAGCAGTGTTACGAAATGTAAAGGCGCGGTAAATTAGCTTCCCCGCAAAGCAGTTTTAGGGTTGTCATAAAATGGCAAAGGAAGGCATGGTTGCCACATTTGGCGAGAAATCGCCGATTTGGTGACAAATTGGTGATATACCATGGACGGTTGGAGAACCTTCTGGAACGAATTCTTACCGTTTTAACCCAGAATGTTCTCGAACACAAGCCGAAAGCTATATAAACCCTCTGGTCCGCAGTCAGTAAGTGTGTGTGCGTCTCTCATCGAGTGAGTGTGTCTTGTCTAGAGAGTCAATCCCTGCAGCGGCGATCGCGTTGACAGCCTGCCAGCGAGTGCCGGGTGGGTCGTCGAGTGCACCGAAAGACTCTCGTAGAGTATCGCGGTTAGTGCTCGTCGAGAGAGCGTGTTGAGCTCCAGAAACGACTGAACCGCGAGTCAGGAGCTGTGCTCTGTGTGTCGTCGAGTGCATCGCGAGTTGTAGCGTGGAGAGTTTCGAGAGTACGTGGAGTTCCGAGAACGACCAAGCAGAGTCGGGAGCAGTACTCCGGAAAGCAGAGTCGGGTGCTTTGCAGGAAGCTGTCTCCACCGTTATTGCCTGAAAGCCTGAAGGCTGTGTCGCTGATTGTTCCAGCGAGTGTATAGTAGACTTTCGACTACTGTAAACGCGTTTTGGAGCTGTCCTGACAATACTGGCAAATAAAGTGTGTTTCGATAATTTATCAAGTGTCGTCGTCATTCACTCCAAATCCACACGAACCCCATACGAACGTGAAGGAAGAAAATGATGCAACCACTGGTGTCAGAAGATAAGGAAAAAACGTAACAATATTTTAAAAAGTAAATTTTAAATCCTATTAAGATAAGCAAAATTCTGTAGCTATTTGTGTAAACTACTGCTTCGAATAATATACGTTTGGGTACTATTTCCGTATAATATTTAAATGACACTACCAAAACGGAAAATTTGAAAAGGTTCAAATAATATTAGGATGTGGCTGGGGATTTATAATTCGAACGAAAATTCAATTAAATGAAATCCAGTGTTCTAAAAACTTGAAAAACTCCTTTATTTTTATAGTGTAAAAGTTCATTTACTTTGCAGTCTTCATTAATTGGCTCGGCATTTAACTGTATAGCTGGATTTATATTAATGGAATCAAATTTCAGTTCCTGCCTTCAGTTGTTAAAGGAAAGATGTTTAGGTAAAGGTTCGTTAATAATTAGGCCTATGATTACGCTGCTGAATTTCAGATTGCATTAAGCATATTTATTTCTAATTTGAAAGGTTTACAAAAATTGTATGATAGTTTATAAATATCGGAATCTGATCTTAGCTTACTGGATTAAGAACTTAATGTACTCAAATCGTGTTGGAACGAATATAATAGTTTTAAATGATATTAATTTAAATGATTTAAATGATTAAATATACCATTATGGACATTCATACCAGTATCAACCAACTGTCATCGAAACAATAGATAACTCAATGTTTCCCTTAATTATCATACACTGTAAAAGTTAAAAAAAATTACAGTCCACAATTGAATAAACGCATAGGCAATAATAAAGAACAAACTATGTATATATAATCATAAGATGTCTTGACTTATCATTATGTTTAGTGACATACTTCGCTTGAAATACATTTTCAAGATTTTAGAATGTAATTATAAAAATGTATTTCTTTGCTTCTCTATACATGAAAATTAATGCATATGAATAAAATAAGTAAAACAAACATATTTTTTATCATTTGTGTATCTCGTTAGCTTCACGTTTAAGTGGTTTTTTGTCATATTTATTACAATTAACTATAATTTAAAACATACGAATGGAACTTTAATCGTATTTTCAATTTTATTAATGTACATTGAGAAATAAATGAATATAAAATGCTTGTGGTTTTTAGATTTACTCATGTCCTTGAAATAAAGTTCTCGAAACCTTCAATCAGAGCTCAAACGAGCTGATACTATATAAAAAACTACTATTAAAAGTATTTCTGAGTATTCCGATCTAAAATTAATTAATCTCAGAAATCTGGTAGAATATGCGTATCTGAAATGACAGGAATTTCTTAGAATCCAATATGGAAGTCGTTTGACCTTTTAGGCAAAGTTTTCCTAAAGATTGAATTGCACATGAAATCAATGTTGTCTTAATCGTTATCAGCTGCTGTCAAACATTAACATATTTAGTAATATTTAAATCAAATCTGTGCTTTCATTTGACCGCGAAAACAACCAGGTATGAGACTTCTAAATAACATAATACACGTTGATTATGGTAATCGTATATGAATAATTAAGATTTTCTAACTTTTGATTGGCATGCATGTTTATCTACATTCCCTGTGAAAAATAATCATAGAACATGCGTTAACCGTGCAATATTCAAAGATCATAGAAAATGAATTATCTAATGTTTATTAGAAAATGATGACACAAACATTTGTGTAGAAATGTGGAGTCAGATTAATATGCCATTTTAATGCAATCTCTGTTAATAATTAATGTAAACTTATAATCTAATGCGTTAAGATTTTTCAACCAATTTAGTTTAATAATTGCCACCCAGATGGGAAAGTGTTTAGTGATACTGACTGCCGTAGCAAAGGGTCAAGGTCCGAATCCTGGAAAATAAATAGATGTAAATTGTCTGTCCTTTCACAGGAGGCAACGAGGGCCCACCTATTAGGTGCCTCCATAATAAAGTGATCACCCCCCTCCGGCCTTAATAGTGACTAACGTCTATGACGACTTGTGCCTGCCATTTGAGGGAAAAAATGGATAATTCAACCAATTAACAAGCATACGAGTACATTCAACCAATTAACAAGTATATTTAGGATGAATGCATCAGTAATGGGTCACGTAAAACACATATATTTAGATTAAATATACCATTATGGACATTCATACCAGTATCAACCAACTGTCATCGAAACAATAGATAACTCAATGTTTCCCTTAATTATCATAGGAACCATATCAATTCACATATAAATTGCTCAAATTAATATAAAAAAATTTAAATCCTTAACTAGTATATGTACTAGTTTTGAGAATATTAAATTTCTCATATGCCTATATTAGGTTAACCTAAAAACCCGCTCAAAGAGGTAAAAGTAGACTGTAAACTATTGAAAAAGGGTAAACGTTGCGTTTTACCATATGTATTGTCGTTAGCATAATTGCTAAAATACAGCCAAAATAACAAAAGGCTAAATGCTTAGAGAACAAAATAGTTCATAAAAAGGATTTACAGTTCTAACTGAGTCTCTATCTGTTGTATAAATAATTCCATATTTAGAGCTTGAATTACACTGGAGTTAGGGATGCTTCGGTTTATATTAAATTTTTTTCTTCGAACTGGATTAGCGTAGATTACAGCCACTGTATATTTCCACTGTCTTATTTATATTATTGTATTATTCCGTGCATACAGGTTCGTAATGTAATGAATGCACACAGAACCGATGATAGCTTCATAAAAGTTATTTTATCAAAAGAAACACGTTACAATTCTGGAACTTTCTACAGAAGTTCTCGTACAGCTCTTATCAGTGTTCCAGGGTACAATCA